GCGGCTAAAAGGGAGCTTCCCTCTACCGAACCAAGGGGTGAAAGAGAAAGTGACAGAGGAGGTATTGAACTGACGAGAGTGGCACTCGCTGGCATAGGCATCAGAGAACCCCCAGGCAGTACAGGCGAGTGGGAGGCCCCCACTCCACCCACGTTCAGAGTGCCCATACCCGGGGCTGCAGGCGGCTGCCCTGCGGGGCAACCACTGGGCGGAGAGGCCGAAGGCATCACATTCACAGAGGGCGCCGAAGTGGAGGCCCCCGGAGCAGCAGATAAGGAGGGACCTGGAGCAGGCAGAGGGGCTGCACCGGAAGCAGGGACCCCACCAGTCGACACACAGGGCCCTACAGCGGACAGAGTGACCTCTGCAGCAGACAGAGGGGCCACTACACCAGGCAGAGGGGCGACCGTTGTCGGCAGAGAGGCGCCTACAGCAGGAACGGGAGCCCCTACAGCGGATAGTGGAGCCCCGTGAGCTGTGTGTCCAATCTGCCCTGAGACTCTGTGTTGCATTTTTGTATGCTTCAGTCGAAGGTATTTGAGTCTATTGTTTCATGCAGAAATATGCGCAGAAGAGGAGGATCGCAGACTCTTGATGCGCGCGCGAGCGGCTTGACATTTACAGAGAGCTATCTAGTCTACACGCGGTAACACCACAAAGTGTACAGACACCCTAGACAAAGAAACACACACGCCTGCTCTAAAAGCGCATCCTGAAACCCAAATTTTAATATATGCGTTGTAAATGGTAGAGACTAGCCCACTGCTGTGGGCCCCGTAGACGAACCCTGCTGACTACATGCACTTCTGGAGCCCCTGCATCTAGGGAAAGACCAAGGGCATACGGATTTTGGGAATTTTTGATATATAATCAGTCACATATATTAACTTAGGGGAAAAGGACGAGGAAGGAATTGTGGCCACCATGCAACTCCCTTTCCTGACCTTCCGAAAGGATTCTCTCCTCGTGCGCTGCTGCGTCGCCGCATGCTTCTGGTAATTAGAAATTTTCCCCGGTTAGGACACGTGAACAGTGCTTACTGCGCTACCGCTCTTGCAACGGCAACAGTTGCAGAAACGAAGGAAACGAAATATGCAGCAGCAGCAGCAGCAGCAGCCGTAACAGCGGTGGACCTAGCGATTGGTCTCGTCAGGATATCCCGGTTTTCCCTGGAACAGTTGCTTCTTCTGTGGCTGCGACCTCTTTAGGTTCATCCCGCAAGATGTGGCGGCGTTAACTGCCTTTTATCTGCGTGAGAGGCAGGTCAGTCCTTCAACAGTTCTGGGGAGCTTGTGCACACGCCTCAGCTAAATGCTTTATTTTTCCTCCACTTCGCATACTGTTTGCTAGGCCTTTGGTCGTGGTACATTTAGATCTTACTTTGCGACTTCATGCTACTGTTTAGCTTGCCATTTTGCTCGTCGCAGCCTCTGTCCCCGTTTGCAAATATGTCGTCTCATCAGTCCTTCATTTCCTGCCACTGTTCATTTGATCATCCCTTTCTACTTTTTCCTTCGTGTCTGCACCGCCTGCAAGCTATGGCAGTAGCAAACATGCATGACTGAGCACAAACCGACGAGCAGTCTCCTCCGGGCCATTTCCCCTAATTTTGCACTCCTTCGCGCACTGTTAATGTCTCGTTTTGTAATGCTGTTCCAGTCCCTCTGCATTTTATATACCTCTATCTCTGCGCCTCATTTAATGTTTGTCTCTGTGTTTCCGGCTAACTTCGTGACCCTAGTCATCATGTTCTTTCCGTTTGATTTCCATGTGTCTGTCTCTGTACATACTGGCCTTTTTGTGTCTTCCCTGCTTATTTCCCTTTTCTTGTGCCTGTTTCGTCACATTTCTGCCTGCGTCGTTATCTGCTTGTCTGATCGCGTCTTTTTGTTTGACTCTGTTTTTGCTGTTCATGGCATGGCTCTTTGTTGACTCATTGTTTCTTTTCCGTTTCATTTTTCGCCCTTTGCTGCTTCTTTTGACTGTCTCTCTTATCGGCTTATGCTCCTCTTTGTTTGCCACCAGATGTTTTCGTGTTACCCGTGTTAACTCTGCTTCAGCCGTATTTGGCCTCTTTTCACGTCGCCGTTTATCCTGTGCCCTTTTCCCCTTAGCCTGGGTTGGTATGCTTCTGTCTACTTTTGATTCGCAAGATGAAGGCTCCTGAGACAATATTTGTGCCAGGTTCCCTGCTTTGGCTGTTCCTATGTCGCCTTGCTATGTACCATTTTGTGCCTTATTTGCGTATATGTCTGTCGTTACTCGCTTACTCGTGTTCCTAACCGTCTTTTTATGTGTCTCATCCCTCGAGCCGCTTACATCTGCTTTTTCTTCGTTTTGTCCACCAGTGTTCGCCCATTCTTTGCCCTCCTATTTTGCATGTTCTCACCTAGTTTGAGAATTTCTGTGCTTCTTTCCATTTGTCGGTTGCTTTTTTGTCTTCTTGGTCCATTGCAGCTGGGCCGTCGCCGCAGTCCGACCACACATACGGAAGACATGGAGTCGTCTCTTTCTTCATTTCTCGATTCCAAAAGGGGTATTTTTTGTGTGTCTCGGCAAGGTGAAAATGTTTTTATCACTGTAAAGCAATAAAAGCGGATACTATCTCGAACTGACATATACAGCAGGGGACCCAATACGGCTTACGTAAAACAGAACCCCCATATATGCTGATTTAGACGACCATCAGGGTGCTCTTTCTGCCTTTCCAAGGGCACCCAATGAACTTCCAGAATTTATTCTGGAGACGGGATGAGAGATTCGGCAGAGAAAAGGCGGAGGGGGTTTGGAAAGGTCCCTATTGTGTTGCAGGGGTGTTGCCCCTGCTGCCTTTCTCTAGGGCTGTAGGTGGGCGGTACTGCAAGCTGCGCCTTTTGGGGACCCTTCCAGCAGGCAGACCATACTAATAAATAGATGCATTAAGGAAGGCCCACAGGCCGCTTTCGAGACAGCTGCGGCGTCCCGCATTTGCAACCGACACAAGGACCCCAGCACTTGGCTCATTGTGTCGGGAAGCCTAAGGGTATTTTGGGCCGCTGAGGCCACTGGAGCCTCAGGGGCATTGGGAGAAAAGGCCCTTAAATGCAAGTTGTTCTGCCTCTGCGGCTTTTGGAATTTTGCCGGTGCAGCTCTTTTCATCTTCTCTTCCCAAACACTGAGTACACACTTGTTTTGGAGCCGGGGCTATGGTATTTACGGTTTGGAGTCCTATGTTGTAGATCCGATCCCCAATGCAGTGACTTAGGCTTTATAATTCACGCGTGAGAACTTATTTCAATAGCTTTTCTGCTTAACGGGCGATTACACTAACTTTTCCTAGGCCCTGTTTCACACAGCCGCTGAAGAGGCATAGTGGCACTTAGGGGTGCGAATACGCACGCTAATTTTTCGCTACGGGTCTAGGTTGTAGTATTTTGGGTCTCTCCGACCCGTAAGGGTCTGCTTTACCTGAGTTGCTTTTCGCCATCACCTCAACTGTACATACTGCTGCAGCATTCCATGAACCCCTGCAACGTTTCTCTAAAGCTCCGTGCACCGTTATTGCGATGCTGCCGACGAATACGTGCAGCGTAGAGCCTTGGTATAGACCGAATGAGACTCGTTTGGGGCGAGTTTTATGCTAGTAGACCTGGCATTTGGGCGACCTTGTAACAGTAGATCAGAAGCTATTGAGGACAGGCTGTTCAGCGTACAGGGCACAGCGCCTGTACTTCATGATACTTACGGTAACAAACAAGAGTAAAAAACTGAAGGCGTTCCCAGGCGCTCTGAGGATCATTGTCGTCGTGCAAAAGAGCATCTTGTGGGCTTGTAAAGGGCTTCGTGCTCAGATGAGGCATGTGACGCATCTCAAACCTGAGCACTATTCCCCTGACAAGCCAGAAAAATTTTCCTCAGACCTGAACACTGAGTCCCTGGCACGCCCGAAGAATGTTCCTTGTCCCCACAACAGTGATTCTCACACAGCAGTAAAGGCCAGGGGTTGAACGCAAATACGCAATAATCTAGGGAACCCTGCACATTCTAACGGTAGAGCCTATACTAATTTTTTTTAATAGCCCCGCCATTGGATTTAATCTCCGTAGTGAACGGGCTAGGAATTGCCCATCTGGCGCTCCAGCCCTGCGCTGATCGACTTCATTTTCAGTGCACTGGCTTCGTTGAGTCAATTTGGCAAAAACGCCGGCATTCGAGCAAGGCAGGCCCACTCGGGGATAGCACTAAACTACCGCTGATTCCCGAACTGTGCGCGCTACGTGGCAGCATATCCATGTTACAAACGCTGTATGTTGGTGTCGCTTGCCTTAAGAAGAGGCGCGCATATGCTTTGCCGTACAATGAACAGCAGTACTTGAGGGTGCTCATAGTTACTCAAGCAGGACGCTGTATAAGCAGCGGTGCAAGCGAACAGGTTCAAAGGCCTTCCAGAGTTACGAAAAGGAAAGCTACAAGTGCACCTGCTGGACATTAAAACAGTTACGTTGCCGCAAGTTGCGTATATGTTTGATATTAAGGGATAGTGTCGTGCCAATCCTGCATGGAACTTCCTTGCTCAAAGGCCTGGGCTGTCGCCAACTTTACTGAGCGAAGCGACTGCACTAGAAATGTAGGACGTATAACCCACTGGTGTAGAAGAAAGGTGTCCTAAGGCCCTGGAGCAAGAAAATAATTCTCAGAATATTACGACAGAGCTCTCTGCACCCCCACTTAGCAAAGGCTACTTAAAGCGTTTTCGGCGCTTCGCACTGATAACACCTACGAATCACTGAACTGTAAGGGCTTTCTGATGGTAGTTGCGCGTTGCGGCTACTGTCAGGCTCAAAACCCAAGTCATCTGGAACTGCTGCGCGAACGTCGCAGCTCCTCGTAACTGCTTGAAGACAGTCTTGACGTACAGCCAGAAAATCTTCGCTTTGCATGAATGACCTTCACGCTTATCCAAGCGGCCTTGCCTTCACTGCAATGAAGCACGGAAACACTTTGCGGCAAATATGCAAAGGCTATTGGTCAATGATATCAGCAGAAAGTTCTTCGCTCTGGGTCGTGGCTGAGATTACACAAACACAAACACGGCCCAAGCTCAGGTGAAAGCCTTACCAGTTGAACAGAGCGCATACCTGCACAGTGCCACAGTTCTGTGTGGCGCCTCCTCTGCGCCCATATACCTCAGCGGAATCTCCAAGTCGCCTCTTACGAAAAGCAAATAATTCACAACACAGCAACTGCAAAAACAGCAAATCTATTCCTCCAAAACTCACCATAGGTAGTCAAGATGACCCGTCCTTTGATGTGTGAACCAGCTGGTCTTGGGAGTGCGACGGTGAAGTGATCTGTATGCCCCCTCTCCACTGCAGCAGATAAGGGAACCCCGACATAATGCATTCTAGGCAGCATCCCACGGTGAGTGGTGAATGTAACCCCGTCACCGGCTGCATGAGCTGTTGGTGCATCGGAAATATTTTCCTGAGACAAGGACAGGAGCATGTGGTCTTTCTTGAAATCTTTAGTCCACTCACTGCGGGTTGTTTGAGCTTGTTGAAGGGCATGAAAGGCCAGTTCTTCAGTCAGCGCCATTACGTCGCGTTTAAACTGCAAATTCATTACAAATGAAGGGTTTGGCAGCATTGTAGTGGAGCAGTGCAGGTAGCCTAAAGGGCTTTCAGACGTTTAGCTACGAAAGGAACTCGAATCGCTGACCCTCAAAACAGAGTTTTTCAGATCAAGCTCTCCTGCCTTATACCCAGAAAGTAGCCGAGTGAGCTTGCCCTGCTTTTTCTTCTCCTTCACAAAGTCACGCAGATACGCAAAGCACAGCAGGCGCTTCTCCATCGTTGGCCCTCTATCTTCTCTTTAATTTCACCAAGCTGTGGCTTGCTTCGATTGCGTGTCTGGCGAGTTCATGTGTAACACAAGAGCCGCTAAAGCGCCAAGGTACTCACTGCTTCCCTAACTTCAATATGCAGACAAACGGTCGCACTGCCATCCGGGAGAGGGCAATTAACCTTGTAATGCGCTGTGGACAACAGCATAAGCTGCACAAAGGGGTGCTGAACCCAAGCGTGAGCCTGGAAGCATGATGAGCCGTGACTGAGGCTGCTACTTCTCCCGCTAAGGGGTTCGACCACATTCACTTGCTGTATCTTCAGACCCACCGCGAGACTCAGCAGAGTGTTCGTGGCAGAGGCTCGCCACACCACTCCCATAGTTCATTAGCTCCATACGTAATTCCTCGTAGCACTGGAATAAGCAAAGCACATAGATACTGACCGCTCTCCTTGAAAGTCTGCTACGGCAGCTTCATTTACCTGGCTCAAAAGTTTACACAACTCTCTCCGACTCCTCACCAGGCCTTAGGCTGTTCGACAACACTGGTGACAGTGGAACTAATGATTCCCAGGAGCCTTGGCAGTGCACGTACCCCGTCAACGAAATAACGAAATCGATACGGCAGATGCAAATTTTTGTAGTGTGAAGAATTCAGGTCTCCAACAGCCACCATAGGCAGGAACTCTATTTTTTCTCCAGGCTGCAGAGATGTCCGATCAGGTTCCAGTGGACCTCTTGAAAAAGACGCTGGTAAAGTTGCTGCTTTCGACGGCCCTAATCGCAGCGTTATTGGTGGTGAATTTGGACCAGGCGCTGTCAGTATTTTAGGTAGAGTAAGCATGGATGAAAGCCCTGATGCAGAGGCTTCCGTTGCACCCGCTTGTGGAAATACATCTGATCGCGGTGTATGCTGTCGAGTTGACTCATCAGCTGGTGCTGATTCAAGGTTTAGTGCTGCCAATGCCTGAGAAGGCCCTGCTGCTTGCCCTCCTGTTTGGGCTGATCGTGATAGCGGTGGCACTGGTGGTGGAACAGCAGTTGATGCCGGTGTTCTTAGACTAGAACTTGTGGCTGGAGAGGGCAATGTTGAGAATGATTGAGCCGGCATACGACCTGCTGTCGGTATCGTTGCTCGTGAAGGTTTTGTTGAAGCTTCTGGGGAAGGTGAATCCAGCCCGGCTAGGGCTGCTGGTGTTGGAGTTGGCCGTTCTTGCTGTGGAGGGTGTGGAGACGGCGTTGCTTGGAAAGACAGTGCTATTATTGATGTGGCTGGCGCGGCTGCTCCTGTTTGCGGCTGAGTGGCCTGCTTTGCTGGTGCAGGAATCAGCTGTGTTTCTGATTCCTTCAGCTGTAGTGAGCGTCTCTCTGGCTGAAGCATTATCCCAGTAGGTACCCATAGTTCTGCAGTCAGGCTTGCTTCTTTTGTTGGAGCAGACGTTCCTGCAGGTTGGAGCATCCATGCTTCAATTTTGCCTAGGTCTTCTGATGCTGAGGCAGAAAGTGGAGCAAACGTTCCTGCATTTAAGAACATCCATGCATCAACGTCGCTTGGATCCTCTGATGATGGGGCAGAAACTGATGCAGCTGCTGCTGAGGTAGCTGGTGAACGCGGCTTTGGTGCAAGGGGGGGCTTTCTTCTGGTTGCACTTGCTGAAGTAGACCTCGATGATAGTGCAGGCGCCGGTCGTCTTGGTCTTGAAGGAGACTCTGGAGTATTCTCCTCTACTCGGGTATATAATCCTGCCTTTGCTCGCTGTTCTGCATTTCTGGCCCCGAAAAAATCTTTCACAGCAGGAAGACTTCCCGTAGCTCGCTTTAAAAGTGAGCTTGCTCGGGGAAGACTTATTCGCTTTGGCAGGCCTGAAGAAAATGATCCTTCCCCGAACGATCTTGGGAGTGAAGCCCCTCGTGGCATTGCTTCCCAACCATGTCTCTTGCCCTGCCCCGCGCTATGAGCTCTGGCACTGCCAAAACCTGTCCTATCGCCGCATTCATCTTCGTCATCACCGCCCTGCACAATCCGAAGCGAGGAGAAGCGATTAGACTCACAAATGCTACAGAAGCCCCTAATCAAACTATTTCAGCCCATACGTCGCAAAATTCCCCCGGTGCTGTAGATGAGAAGTTTCTAGGTACCTACAAGGAGAGCTTCCTCTACGTCGCTGTCGTCTTCGATCCATTTTTCTGATAGCGCCCGGACGGATCTAAAATGTCTTGTGGATAGATGCAACGCACACTGCACCAGCAGGAACACAACAGCGGCAGACACCCCAAGTGCCAAGCATGCACGCCAAAAGACCCCTTCACTTCTCCCCGGAGGGCGCCTTGTTTTGATATGGACAATATCAGTTGTTTCATTTAGTCTCTTATGATCCGTAGACACAGGAGGCAAAGAATATGTCCTTGCCGTCTCCATCAGCGCAACGTCGCCCTGAGTCAACACGATTTAGGGCCGATTCGGGACTGCTGTAGGAGTGAGCATCCTTCGCCCATGAGCCGGTACTGCTGAGTTCAGCACCTGCATGGGACAGCAAAAAAATACAATGCCAGTTTTCAGAACCTAGCTGGAGAAGCCCACCTTGAAGTTGTTATCTTGTTTTCATCTGGAAAACTGAAACGTGATATCAGGGGCGAGAGGCTAGGAAATGCTATTCATGCCCCAATGTCCCTCTTCAGTACACCCAAAACGCTGTCTTCAAAACTTTTAGTTATAGTTCCGAAAGGGCAGCGCCGAGCAGGAAGGCACTCGAAATGTGTCGGGCAGGAAATAACTGAGCGTTCCCAGATACTTGCGTGTTATGGCCTTTTAGGCTCTGATCCCCCACTGATAATTTACTTTTATAGAAATAGTCAAAAGGGCGATTTAAGAATTTTGTATTTGAAGGCGCACATGGCCAACTGGACGGATAAGCAGAACGGATAAAACAGAGGCGTCTGAGGCTGCACCATGTACCCTGTTCACGGACGTTAACATAGCATCTTGCTAATTTCCGTACACGAGCTTTAACACTTTAGAAAACTGAGAATTAGGATCAAAATAAGCGGCAACAATTTGAGTGAAGATGGCTCCGTAACCCCGAGAGTTCTCTACAGTCTCTGCTTGAGCGGTCTAGACTGAAACGACGAAACAGAGAACGCTCACGAGGAAGCGGTGGCGACTCTCCCTTGTTCCGCCGAAGGCGCGCACACAAAGCCTGTCCCATTCTTCTTTGTCTTAAGTTAATGATAAAATGGATAATTTGTTGCGGTGATCCCTTTCCGCCTAGCCCATGGATGCGCTCCAGAAACAGTAAGAAGAAGGCCTCGACCAACACGGGGGCGCGGGGCGGTGAGTAAGCCCAAAGGCATTGGTTCTGGCCAGTTAAGACCCTCCCTCTTACGAATTCTAATGTATAGCGGTTGAAGTAAGTGCTTTTTATTGAAGAAACAACAGCCTCAAGGCTACGAAATGTACTGAGCAAGACGTCTCCCAGTCTTCGAGAGTCTCCAAAAGTTTAACTAGCGTTGCTGTGCACCTGGCAGCTTCACTCCAAATGAAACTTACGCATAAAAGAAGGTCATGCCTATAAAATGTCTTTCTAAAGGGTTCTGCTGGTAAATTATATCTTCTCCTCATGTCCTCTGGGCTGCCAGCACTGCACAGCCGCTGGGTACTTGAGTTAGCAGAGACAGTCTTCCGAGAGCAAGGAATCGTGTGCATCAACGGACCCTGCTCGGCTTATTTAAAACCTTCTGACTTCACTCCTAACAGACGAGTTGCGCCACGAGCATGCGGTTCGACCGTCACTGGAAGACCAATCTCAATCAGCTTCCAGATTGGAGTCAGTGCTGCACTAAAATACCAGTTCAGCTGTGTGGCTAAAAAAATGTACACTAAGCACAAGCCTGGAAACCTAAGCCATATTTCAGCTGACTGCGGGCAGGCCCACAGCATTTTATTAGATGAACTAAGCACTTTTTTCCATGGAGAAGTGGCAGGCGGGCTCACACCGCTAGTTGAGAAGCAGATAGCAAAGGGTGAGGCCATCTGAGTGTTTTTTCGTTATCTTGCGTGTGTTTAGAGAAGTGCCGCATCAGCAGGAGAGAAGCAGAGAAAAAATGTACAGTAAAACGCGTTCTTACCTCCAGTCGCTACAAATTTTTGAAAAGTAAAGCATTTGCCGCTTACCACTGACCTTTAAAGTGGGCAGTTGTGCCCTGTACCGTTCCTCCAAAGCTCCGTAGGCTTGTCTTCCAGCAGCGTTTTTTCCACTTTGTAAACTACCAAGTTTACTTCCCCGCTCGTAAGGTTTGTACGCCGGAACGATCGAGGATATTATAGATGAGATGGCAGGCATTTTCCTCCACGCGTCCTTCCTTCTCACAGCCGTTTTCGGGCGATTATTTTCTGCATTTTGCTATCTCTGTTCATTTGCGTGATTATTCGTTCCTGTGCTTCTCCCCTCGCACCCTTTACTGGCTTGGCGCATTTTTGTCCCGCGTCTGTTCGGCAGGAGTGTCATTTTTATCCTCCTTCTTTACTTTCGTTCTATGTATACATAAATATGTCTATCTTTGCTTTTTCTACAAGTGTATGCCCCGCGTATCCAACTTTTCTTCGTCTCAACTTGTACAATTTGCCTTTGTGTCTTTTGACTTTTCTGTCCTTTTGGACTACTCTTTGATTATCTCTTTGTACCATTTTTCCTGCCTTCAGTCCCGCCTTTGTATGTTCTTGTGCTTCCTTTAGTTTCATTGCTCCCTGAAACGCGTCTGGCTTTTGCCTTTCTCTACCTTTCCTTGAGGTCGCCTCTCACAGCAATCGAACCTCCACACGCAGCAGCGGCGTATGCGTCGTCGTTACAGTTGCTGTTGGCACCTTTGTCTTCTGTCTCTACTCCTCGTGCTGCAGCGCTCATTACGTTAGACTGTAAAGGAGGCTCGTAAGATATGTCTGCTTGGTGGTCAAGCCTCAGGTTCCCATAGCGGTCGTCTCCATCGGAATCCACAATGACACATGAGCACCATATGCTGAAAACGATGCACAAGAGTGGTACAGAACAGACGCCTGGTATGAAACTGTTGGTTCTGTGGTGCGTGGAGTGGAGAAGGGCTGGGCCTACCAGCGTGAGCGAAGAAGTGTCCCCATAGCTTCATGACTTCGCAAGCCCCTGACATGGTTTGAATATGTTCTGAAATAGGTATTGAACACAGACAGTCACCTCAAATGCGAGAGCTAGGCAAATAAGTAACGTTAGAGTGATGCTAGGTTGTCAACACTGTCAGTACACCCGCAGCAGTGCCCGAAAAGATTTTGCAGCCGGCCGCATGGACCAAAGAAAGAAGCCTGGCAGAGTTTCGCAGATGGTCTGCTGATATTCTAATCTCAGAGTCGCCCACTAAGCACTAAAGTTGCAATGGGGAACGTTGCCTGAGTGAATAGCACGCGTCCGACAAAATACTCCTATAGCAACTTTTGTCTTTGTTCCTGCTCAACAGCTCATGATCAGGAACAAAAACACAAATTGTTATAAAAATACTTCGTCCAAAACAAAACCCTGCGGACTTCCGCGCACCTTGCCTGCCGAAGCGCCAACACACGAGCAAATGGCATGAGGTATTCAGCAAAGAACAATAGACCTTCGTGTTGTATGAATGCACTGAAAGCGGTGAGACCCTTGATTCATGTGTCACTCAGCTGTTGTTTGCAGAGCACGCACAGACTGACAAAGTTCTATGTGTTTTGTCAGTGTCTTCCAAATAAACACTGCTGCTCTAAAAGCCAACAGAAGTACCTACAGCTCCGGGGCCCACGGCCATGGAGCGCCATGGACTCGGCCGGCGTATTTGAAAGAAACTAAAATACGTGATGCATGCCACAAGAGAAGCTGATAACCTATTGAAACTTAAAAAATGGACCAGTGTCTGCCTTTCGCACAGCAAAATCTGCTCGAAGGATTTATGCGGCGAACTCTACATTCTGAACTATAGGCTGCACTCTCCTGATAGTTTGTAACCTTTTTAAGTCAGCAAAACCCTCATGGAAGACTAGGTCGCACAATGTTGCACATGAGTGCGCACAATGCATTAAGTTATAGTGAGAACCGAAACAACCACGTAGGGCAAAATTTTGTATGAAGTACAGCGATAAATTGTAGTGCTTCATGTTTACTCATTCTGATTCTTCGGAGGAATTCTCGCTCTGTTCAGACGAGCGCTTGTTTTTGAAGAAGTTTGTGGAAGCCTACTGGCGGTGGCAAGGCAAACACAGGTAATGGCAGCTGCAGAGCGTGATCACATTCACCTTCACATCCAGAGCCACGATCTCGGACTGAAACAGAGTCGGACGTAAAGACTACCGTAGTGCTGCCGTGTTTCACCAGATGCGCCACTGCAATGGTGCTATATTTTTCCATTTACCAGCGAAAAACCTAGTCTGCCTTAATCTACTGCGTGAGGGCCCCTTCTCCATCGTAGCCGATGGATACGCGTTCAAAAGAGAAAGAAAGTGTGGGCCAACAGTGGAGGGCGGGACAACGTGTTAGTGCATATGCATTTAACTAACAGTTCCTAAATTGCTGGGAGTAACAACCTGTATGAAACTTACGCAAAAAATATGAGCACACAGACGAAATATTATTCAAACGGTTTTGGCGATGGATGTAAATCAGGCGGAAGAACAAGGCCTCGGTTGGGAACGATTAGTTTAGCAAGTTCAGAGTAGGGAATGGGAATGCCAGCTAGGCCTTCAACAGTATCCGCTGCTGTCAGCTTCTTCTTTGTGAGCTCAAATGGGCGAGCAGCGTTGTTGGAGGAGTCTAGTGCAGTGAGTACCACCCAAAAGGTGTGATGTTGACCTGCGCAGGCTCAGCAAAGATCAATTCCGCCAATATCTCTTGTAACTGCAGGAAAGAGGCTCAGAGATCACGAAAAAGAGAGTACCTGCCAGCTGAGAATGCAGAGAGGGGCCTTTACAAACAACATCTGAAGAAGCACAACCGATTACCAAAAATGGGCAACAGAGGTAGTAAAAAACGGTGAACTAGAGCATGCAGGCGAGGCGCGGGGGTACGTGAAATTAGGGGAATCGCCTGAAGGAAAAGGTAGTGAAGCGCAGTGGTGACGCCAGACGCTGCGTAAAGAGCAAGGAAGTAAACACTGCAGTGCTGCTTGTAGCATGGTTATGGCTGTACTTACCCAATTCGCTGTTTCGTGCCGCTGAGACCCTTCCACGCATTGGTGCCTTGCGTAACCACCACCTGTCATTTAGCAAATTGTGTGATGTGGTTGTTCATGTTTTTTCACACCTTTGCAGTTAGGCATGTTTTGTAGATTCTGATTTTCCGAGTTCTTTTTCTGCTGCCCCAGTACTTACCTGATTCGCTGCCTGTGACCATATATGTGAAGCCTCCCAAGACATTGGAACCTCGTGTAGCCAACAACTGCTGCCTAGCCAATTATGGGATGCTGCTTTGAGTGCACTTTTAGTGACATCGCATCGAGACCAATTCTGTGCATTCTGGATATGAGTCTTTTTTGCCGTAGACGTCAACTCAACATAGCACAGTCTCTTCCAGTGCCCGTTTCCTCCGTTTCTTCAACCGCTAAAGGCTGCCAAACAAACTACGCATGTTGTCCGACAAAGACCAGATGGCTGCCTAAGGAATTAATTTGCCGCAGACTTTTGGCATTTACGCCAGGCACAACAGAAGGGCAGAACAGTTAAGCGCGTGAGACTGACAAGTTCGGTTGCAATCAGCTAATGGTGTGTTGCAGGAGCTCATATGGCTAGCTTCATGTGCTTAGTATTCTAGCACTTACACTTAGTGGAGGCCTCACATTCAGTATTGCGTTAGTACACATGTCAAGTGGGCCAACTACTCTACTGGGCTGGGCTCTGTAAAATTTCCCAGGAGCTGACAATAATCGGTTCTAACTTCAACCAACTAATATGTACTCAAAAAGCCAATTCATTTAGGTGAACACGAAGTAGTGCTCCGAAGAAAAGGGAGGCTGAATAGAGAAAGACGAAAGGCAGAATTATCTGAACTGGGCCTTCTTCGTTGACAAAAACCAAATTAAACATTTTTGAAACCCTCTTCTTCTGTGCAATTATTTCATTGGATTTAAGTAGCACCTTTAAATGTGTTTAACCTTGAATACGGACAGCTCTGCTAGATTGAAACTGCGGAAGTTGGTTCATAAAACCACAGTATGCAACAGCTGCTACAACATTTGCAAAGATCCCCGAATTAATCGACTCATAGCTCGTCGCTGTGAATGAAAAATGGGCACGTCCAGTTTTAGAAGATGCTGAACAAGAGGCTTGTCCATCTCCTCAGTCTAACAATCAGGAAAACGCAAGATTTTCACATATGTGGCTAGAGAGGCAGTAGTTGAATACGTGGCAAGAATATATTAGTATATGCACAATGGCGGCAACAGAAGAAACTCGTGCGCGAATGTGTAGCCAGTAGGAAGGGCTTGTAATCTGTCTTATGCGGCGTTGCCGAAATACAGCGGGATTATTTAGTACTCTCTGTGCTATAATGGAGTATCTCCATATTCGGTTATGTATGTGTACCAGTTCGGTCGAATTTGAGACGTAGTTGACTAATAGTCCAAATTCTGCTTAGTGTGCTGGTTCTGTGTTCTCGTTTGGCCAGAACCTCCACACTCTGAAAGGCTTACTGCTGGTGAGCAACTCGTACTAAAAGCTGGAAGGGACAGACTTTTAAGTAAAAGAAGTTTACAACTAAAAAATAAGCTGTCTTCCTTCACGTGACGACGCTCTGTCACGCTTGCGCACTTATTTTAGAACTCAATCAGAAGATTTTGCTCAATTTGAAAGAACTTCCTAGTAAAATGCTTTCGCTTTTGGTCTTCTTTTTTGTATCTAGTAAAAAATATAGTAAAAAATTAATATTAAAAAATAGAAAAAAATGATTAAAATTTATTTTTTTAATAAATTTATTAAAAATAATAATAGTAGCCGGGTTAAGAACGTCTTGAGGCAACTACGGGCGTGTAGGATGCCTACCAACCAGAAAAGGTTGGTAGGCATCCTACACGCCCGTAGTTAG